CGAGTCTGTAAAACAAGATATATGGAGACAGGGGCGAACCTAGCATCATTTGGTGTGTGTATGTATGTGTGTGTGGGGTGAGGTGGGGTCTGGTGTTCAAATTTAGAGACTCTCACCGGATCTCTATTTTTTTTTTTTTTTAATTTGAGATTTGTTTTAGAGACTTTATAACAACTTATAAATAGACTCAATTTTATAGAGTACACCATTGTATATTATTTTTATGGGGTTATTTTACATACCCCTAGCCACCAAATAAATTAGGGATAAACCTAAGCCCAAATCATCCTTTGACATACCCTCTGGAGAAGCGAAAGTACTATACTACCCTTATATGCAATTTTCGGCCAAACTGCATCAGCATATATGGTCCTGCATTTATCATTTTCGCTGATTTATTTATTATTATTTTTTTTTTTTTTTTTTTTTTTATAAACCTGTTTGTTAAATATATATATATATATATATATATATATATATATATATATATATATATTTATTTTTTTAATTTTTTAATTTTTTTTTAAATTAAAAAAAAAAAAATTTAATTTTTCTTTTTTAATTTTCAAAACAATATGTTTACCGTACTGAAAATAACTACATGTAACTATAGTACCTATAGTAATTCATAGTTATGTTCGTTTTTTCCCCCATGTTTTTAGTCAATCAATTGTATACACACACGAATACTGACTTATACAAAATAAATTCATAAAACTCCAACAAAAATTTTACAAATTTCAATATTTTTATTATAAATCACATCAGAACCAATAAAATACAAATCGAAAATACACAAATATACGCATATGTAACTACATGTTACTATAGTAATGTAATATACAGTATGTTGAACAAATCAAATGTAACTTCAAAAAAAAAAATTTGACACCTTCAAGGAAAGGATCAATGGCTTTCATTAAGCTGCAATTGCAAAATCAAAACAAAAAGAAATTACTTTAGTGCAAATCAACAAAATTTGAAGAAAAACATCAAAACACTCAAAAATCAACAAACACTAAGAGATCGAGAGATAGAGAGAGAGGTTATTGCTGGGAAATGCTATAAATTTTAAATCAAACAGACAGTGACTTCTCACCCCCTCGCCTCCTACCAAAACCCTAGACGCTGCTAATAACCACCCACACTTCCGCGCGCCCACAAATGCAAAAAAATATAGAAATAAATCTGAAAATATAAAAATAAACGAAATTACCATCTAAATATAGATCCCGACGAGAGGAATCCAACAGTGGGTGACCCCTCAAATTTCGACGGGTGGAAAACAAAATAAAACTCCGGCAAGACCACCGTCCTCGAATGAAAAAAATTGCAGAAACAGATCAGCGCTCGAAACTGAATGAAATCACCACCAAAAGAAAGAGCTCGACGAGAGGAATCCAACGGTAGTTAAACCATCGAATTCCGACCACCGGAGAGAGAGTTATGGCTCCGGGAAGCAATTTCGCCGGTGGGAGGTTTGTGGAGGTGGGATTTTCAATCTGGGTGAAGAAGAGAGAGACCGTGAATGGCTAGGGTTTAAAACTGATTTTAGAAGGGTATTATAGGAACTTCAGGGTAGCCTAGGGGAGTGTGTCAAAATATTTTCAAAATGAGGGGGATTTCCCCTAGAGTGTAATCCACTAGTAGTTAGTTCTATATAATTTGGAAATGAGGGGTCTACAAAATAATCCCTATTTTTATATATAGACTTTGTCGTAATAGTCAATTTGCCCAATGAATACTAATACATTGACTTTTTATAATGGCGTGACCCGCGTGTTCTTAACATCTCATCAATTTATTATCAATCATGGGTATTTAACATGCAGGTTTCACACGTGACCACTTGTTCTTCATCTTTGTAATTTTCTAATACCAAGTATGAATTTTGACTTAACTTTTTTCTATATTAGTTCAAATAAAATAATTAGGTGTGTGCCAACGCGTTAATCAAAACTACTCTACACTAAATTATATAAAGCATGTGCAAATCATGCTTTCAATATAGCGTTTCGATTTTAATTAAGGGAAACGATTTCCTAGCCATTGGTTTGACAAAGACATGCAAAGCATGAAAACAATTGTTTTGGACTAATATTGGACGATCGTGTATCATTTAGTTTTAGTTCTATCATTGTGTAGTTTCCAATTGAGTTAATAGAGCTATTAGCACAAACCTCCCGTGTTATTTCGAATAAGCAAAAAGCCCCCCGATAAAAAATTTACCAAATACCCCTCTATGTTTTAGTTTACAAAACACACTGCCCCTTATTTCATTTTTTTATTGTTGAGTTACATGAAATGAAAAAAAATGGCCTTGATTAAAGATGAAACAATGTACCCAACCGAAAAAAAAATTCAGAATAAAATCCAAAAAAGAAAAGGAGAGAAAATATTTTTGCTTCATCTTTCATGTCAAACCAATAAATAATTTACAATGCACCGTAAATTGAATATTTAAAATTTAATTAGGGTAATTTTAATTTTAATTGGTTTTTTTATTTGCAGGGGGAAAATAACAAATTAAATTATTATTTTCTTCCACCCAAATATAATTTCGAGCGTAAAAAAAGCGAAAAGATAGAAATCTAAAAAAATTGTGAAAAAAACTATTTTCTCTTAAAAAATTCTCACTAAATTACGGTTGATAGATTTTTTTTATTTTTATTAGAGTGAAAATATTTGAGAAAAATCTTTGGAAGAAAATCTAATTTCTAGATAACTTGATACATGAATAGATTACATATATTTTTTCTTCTTTTTTTTTTGAATTTCTTTTCCGCCATCGCCATTTACCACCAACAGTCTCCCGTGTTGTATTTATTTTTAAATTTATTTTAAATTTTTCTCTTTTTTTTAAATAGTTTTTTTTTTCTGATGTTTATTTATAGCATTGGACTCTTTTTTTCGGAAAAAAATACTTTTTTTTGTTGTCACACAGTAATACTATTATTGTTTCAATATAATATTATTGTTTTAATAGTAAGATTATTTTGTTACACAACAATATTACGTTTTTTATAAAATTATTTTGTTACACAGTAATATTAATGTGTTAGACTGCAATATTATTGTGTTGGTCGTTCAAGAAAAATAAAAGAAAATTAATATTCTTAAACCTCCCCAATAAATTGGACTACATCCGCCAATTATCTCAACGCTTGAACTCTGTCAACACTAATCACACATCCGAATAGTTTATCGATGTCCTCTTCAGATATCTGAAACCTCTCTCCTTCCGTAGATTACACCGGCAAACACAAAGAGAGTCGGCGAGAGCGAGTCCCCCTATCCGAGCCCCCGAGTCGAAGCAAAATAAACCCGTCAATCCGTTGATTAACATAGAAAACTGACATGAGGAAACCTATCGCCGAATCATATCAACGGAAACAACCGGGAACCCCATGAACTCAAGCACACGAAAAAAGAAACACCATTGAACCCTATAATAAGCCTACGCCATGTCCAGCTTAAGAGTAAGGTTTGGATTCCGACAATGAGCCGAAATAGAGAGGACCGTCTCCTGTGCAAATAAAATATTATAATTAATCAGGCGATCCTGAACAAACTCATTCTAAAATGGAGAAAGTATATGGGGCAAATGAGGCGCTAATCTGCTCGTAAGGATCTTAGTGATAATCTTGTTTGTCAAATTGCATAAGCTAATCGAGCGAAAATCAGACCAAGCAGTCTGGAAATCCACCTTGGGAATAGCACTATAGTAATAGCAATGAAGCCCTCGGGCATACTACCACCATCAAAGAAGTCCCAAACTTTCTCACACTTGCAACTTATCATCTAAACTCTTTTGAAGTCCACAATTAAATATTATTATTTAATAAAATTAACAATGATCCTTCCATTGTAAGGTCATAGGTGATGACTAAAAATAAAAGACAATCTTATTCCTAAATACTAAAGAAGCATGAATGAATATCAAAGATATGTTAAATATAAATCACATTTATCTAGAAAGATTTTAACAAATCCAATTATAGTTTCTAATACCATAATGGAATATAATAATAACTACATAATTAGTTAGTCATTAACATGTAAGTACAATATATGAGGTGCTAGTAATTATGAGTAAAACTTGAAATAATTGTATTTAAAAAGTATAAAGTTGGAGGTGTTTGCAAATATCCTAAAAGTTAGTTTGGATCTGTTAATTTAGAAACTGCAGTGTTTGCAAACAAACTTAAGTTTTCAACTAATTGTTTGCAAATACCATATAAATGATTTAGATAAAAAAAAATTCCACTGCAATTTTCAATATCGAATCTAAATCTTTGTTAAGCACACTGGATTAATTGTACAGTTAAATTTCTTTAAATTAATACAGTCGGAGCTAAGAAAATTCTATTAATTTAGCAAAATATTAAATTATCGAACTAATAATTTGATATGTTTTTATCGAGTGAAAAACGGGATAAAATATTATTTAAGCGAAATTATTAATTTATCGAAATTATACCGTATTTCCACACTGCAAATACTCGAGAGTGGAGGCACCGGCCGTTGCATCCCCATTATGTGGGCCAGGGTTGTAAACTACATCATAATCGCTCCAAATTTTTTGAAATAAAGTTCAAAGCCTGCAAAATAAAATAATACCACCGGTCCACCACAACAAGAAAAACATGTAAATAAATTTAGTGACAGATAACCGTGTCTATTAACCTATGTGATCTGCCACGTATTTATTCCAATATAGAAATGGAGCGAGCGTCAATAATGTAAAGCCCGGCCCCACCCCCACCCCACCCCACCCCACCCCCACCCCCACCCCCACTCCCCAATTCATGCTCTGTATATAATCCACTAAACTCTCCACCATCTTTCCATACCAAACAATAATCTTTAAAAAAGTCAATTTTCTTTTTTTCTTTTTTGTTTCCTGCTTGTAATAAGTCTCAGAATTCAAATCACTGTAGTGTGTGTACTGTGTAAATTCATTTCATCAGTTTCTAGCCAAAAAAAAAAAAAAAAAAAGAATGTCAGCTGAAGAAACACTAGTGTTGAATCTTTTGGATTCATACTGGTTTGAACATGGAGTTTTGTCAGCGAAAAAATCCACTATGAAAATAAGTCTAGTTGTCGGTGAAGATCTTATACAATCAAAGCTGAATCGAAGCGCAACCCTGATAAGAAAATCTCACAGCAGTGACCAGTTACTGAGCATCAAAGACTGCTCGTCGGAGTATTTCGATTCACCGTCGCCAACGTCAGTCCTCCTCGCCGGGCCCCACCTTCAGACCATACTATCCGGCAAGCAAGTCGACAGTTTCCAGGATCTCACCGATACAGACAGTTCTTGTATCTCTCTCTCCCACACGGTGGAAGGTGCTTTTGACACAGAGACCAGCACGAGAAATAGACAGTTGAACAAGAGGAGGAGGAGTAAAAGGAGAAGTGGGGCCGTCAAAAGTTTGTCGGAGCTCGAATTTGAGGAGTTGAAAGGATTTATGGATCTGGGTTTTGTTTTTACTGCAGGTGATGATCAGAAATTGGATTCGAAATTGGTTTCGATAATTCCAGGGCTGCAAAGACTCGGAAAAAACGTGGATGAATCCGCATCCGAATCCGAATCTGAATCGGTTTCTAGGCCTTATCTTTCGGAGGCATGGAATTACTCCTCGAATAATCCAGCGATGAAGGATTGGAGAATCCCGGCTTTTGGTAATGAAATGGAATTGAAACATCATCTTAGGTTTTGGGCTCATTCGGTTGCTTCTTATTCCAGCGTCCGATCATGAAATATTTATAACGTTAAAAAACGCTTGGTCCAAATCGACACTTGTGTTTGCAATTAACCTAGAAGAAGAGCAGAAGATGAACCATTTGTATACGTATTTCTTCATATGTGTACGTACATTATCTAAAGTTGTCTTTACATATAATTCATTTCGTTTCATTTTTGGTACGCGTCTTTTTTTCTAATTCCACCAATTCACTGCTAGTCTAATAGTGTTCGATATCCTACAAATAGAGTATCAGAACCAATGTCACGGGTTTGAAAAAAATAGCAAACAAGTTGCAGCTTTCTTATCTAAATTAATGAAGCATATATAATTGCATTTCTTATTGTCTGCATATTACAAAGTTATATACAAATGTAAATACGATGAATGAAAGGGGACATGTACCGGCATTTAGATATACAAAGGAAGGTTGTACGTATGTACGTCGACAAATTAATATTTTTAATCCTTGTTGGAAATAGCTTCCGGAAGTTTGAACGTGGGACGCTTGTCGACACCCCTTCTAGAATACTCTCTCCATCTACGTGCAGCTGCAGCAGCTTTCGCCGCCCTCTCTTTCACTTGTTCCTCTGCGCACCCACATAAGTAAACTCAAGTCTAAACATGTATACCTCAAAACTTCAATAAAAGAATAGTCGATAACTCAAAATTGAACTACAGTAGAACGTCGATAAATTAATAACCTCGATTAAATAATAGTCTCTCTCGTTCCCGACTCGGTGAAAACGTGTTAAATTATTAACTTGATAATTTAATAATTCGCTAAATTAATAGAATTTCCCTAGTCCCGACTGTATTAATTTATAGAGGTTTAACTGTGTGTGTGTGTATATATATATATATATATATATATATATATATATATATATATTAGAACCTCGATAAATTAATAACCTCGATTAAATAATAGTTCTCTCAGTCCCGACTCGGTGAGAACGTGTTAAATTTTTAACTCGATAATTTAATAATTCGCTAAATTAATAGAATTCCCCTAGTCCCGACTGTATTAATTTATAGAGGTTTAACTGTATATGCTACACTTTATCTCGTCCAAATACTAAATTGCATGATATTATCGACTCAAAACCATTGAGCTTTTATTATATATTCCACCACTAAAGCAATATGATCAGGATACGTAAGAGATGAATCCGGAAAGAGAAGGAAATTGTTAATAAATTAACCAAATCAGACTTCTAGCATTTGTAAATAAATCGAAAAAACAACCCGAACTTGACAATAAATTTAATCTTTTATTCTTACCTGTATTTGCGTAGTCTTTTTCATTACCCCAAAGGTTGCTCCAAGAAGCTGGAGTTTTGTCTGAATCCTTCTGCTTCGCCATTCTCATTCTAGCTTGTTCCTGCAATAAAACGGACATAAATAAATTAACTAATAAACCACTATCTAGTTTCTCGGTTTAGTCTGTTCAAAATCCAATCCAATTTGCAGGAACCCCAAACCCCAATGTTATCGATAGTAGCCAATATACAATCTTAATATCAAACTCATGAAAAAAAAAATCACGAGTGCAGTGAAAGAAAAGAGGGGGCACTTCTCGTATTGTAAGGCCCCGTTTGGTTGGCAATATAAGATTAGCCAAGATAAGATTAAATAATCAAATGAAACCCAATTATTTTATTGGAGCTCGCGACGTCCGACGTCCAACAAAAAGAACTCACTAGAAGGCAAGATAAGCCAAGATAAGACAAGATAAGCCATGATTATATAATTTTGGTGGGTCGACCCGACAATTTATTGGGGATACCAAACATCAAATTAAGTCCAACTATTTAGTTAATCATGGCTTATCTTGGCAACCAAACGGGGCCTTAGAGTAAATAGGATTACTACATAAAGATTCTCACCAAGACTTTAGATTGTCTCCTTTGCCATCGAATGCTCGCCTGTATAAGTGAAAGAGTAAATATAGGATTAATACATAAAGTCGTAAACCATATTAAATTGACAAAAAAAAAAAAAGAAAAAAAGATAAAAGAAATGTTAAAGGTGTAAACCATGTTAATGATTAATGAAAGGAAAAAAAACAAAAGTCTAACCATTCGAAAAACATCTACGCCACCTGACCCCATTCCTGAGAGCATCAACGCCACCTGTCGAGCAGTACCTCCCTTGTTAAATTAGCAGTTCAATAAAACATGCAAACTCAAGACAACTCTTGAATACCGATTTCTTTTTTTAAATCTATATTTATGCATAGAAAAGGTGTCGAAGAATTTAAATCTGCGCCTATGTATTCTTACATTCACTCTCTCTACTCTTCTCATTTCGTCTTCGAGCAGTGATAACTGAGCAGCAGAAGTCCAATGGATACAATCGACTGGGCTGAAAAATAAAACATTTCAAGAATCGATTACTAGCAGAATTTTCTCGTTTCCGAGTGGATTATTTGTTTTTTTAAAGTTATATGTATACTTGTTACCAAAAACGGGAAATTCATAACAAGCTTACCAGCTCTCAACTGCTTGTTGAACCGAGTCAATGATGCCAGGTTGGCTATAAGCTCTGGCTCGTCCAAAGTCTTCTTCGATGTCGAAAACCTTCGAGCAAACGTTGGCACAATTCTTGCAACCTAAGACACCAAATTGAATGAAAAAACAGAGATAATAACTTGAGTTGAAAAACCTCTATAAATTAATATAGTCGGGATTAGTAAAATACCATTAAGTTAGCGAAATATTAAATTATCGAACTAATAATTTAGAATGTTTATACTGAGTCTGGACCGGAAGAAATTATTATTTAAGCGAGATTATTAATTTATCGAGATTCTACTGTACCTATGCAGCTAAATTCGTCTACGAATACATGATCCTTTGGGCTAGAATCGTCGAAAAAAGGATTGATTGCAGTCAAAGCATATCCATGTATTTCATCGTAAACCATTCTCTGCACAGGATCACTCAGAACCTACACATGGAATAAAAAAGAGGGTCACTTTTATCGCAGAAAACTCGCAAGAAATATATATATTTAAACAGAAGTTCGTTCGAACCGAACGTACCTCGTAAATCTCGTTTATGAACATGCAGAAATTCGTTGTCTCGGGATCATCACCACTGAGATCTGGATGGCAAGCTTTCATGCAACTGTAATATGCTTTCTTTATCTGCTCCGGTGTGGCATCTGGTAGCTGGCAATACATATATACATTTATAATATACCACATAAAAAATTGTAAATAAAATGTCAAGTGAGAAAAATGTATTATCATATTCATTAGGTACTTTTGCAATTGAGATTGGTTATTAAATTATAGGGTAAATTACGGCCACCCCCGACGCAATTCAAATTACAAAAAAACTCTTCTTGTTTGGGTAATTACAACCACACCCCTCAACTATGAATCTTCTTACACGTCCACTCCTTGCAGTGTCAAATTTAGTGGAATCTTCTAGTTTATGTGGAATATTCTCCAGTTTGTACCCGTTTTATCCCATTCAAACTCCAAATTTTGAAACAAGATGATCATAAGATGTGTCTATTGGCTTGTCAATATCAGATTGATGTGCATCAGAAACAACATTTTTTGCACAAAACGGGTACAAACTAGAGAATATTCCACGGAAAATAGAAGATTATGTTGAATTCGACACCATAAGAGGTGGACAGTTACAAAGATTCATAGTCGATGTAATTACACAAACATGAGGATTTGTTTTCGTAATACGACCTTACCTCAGGGGTGGCTGTAAATTACCCTAAATTATATGTTTCTTTTTAGACTTATTCTAAGAGCCTAAATTCAATCTCTTTTCAATCTTCACAATTAAAGAAGTAAAAAAAAAAATAATAATAATTACCAGACCCAATACAGCATAATAATCATCTGCAACGTCGTCGTACGATGCAGTGTCCTGAGACGCAACCCTAATTCTACCAATTAGAGCCTTCCTTCTTCCACCATGGCTGCTCCAATTCACACTGGTTCGCCCTAGCATGCTGAATCTGCTTCTTGGGCATAATAAATTCTGTACTGGGTTTTGGAATTTCAGTGTATCTGTGCAAACTGGTGACAGTAATTGAGCCATTACAACAAATTTGATTTAATTCTGGATACTTTTCTTGTATTTAATGTTTTAATATTATTATTATTATTATTATTATTTGCGAATATATTTATGCGGATGGAGAAAATTTGGAGTTGGAAAAATGAAGGAAATGCTGAGATGGCAAGAGGAAGGCCATTTGTTTGGAAAAATTAATATTGAGGGAGCTTCAGTGAAGCTGAATCTTGACAAGAAATAGCACGTGCCCGGCACGTGGGTGTTTTGGCTTCTCACGCTACTTCCCGGGTTTTGCTTCACGCTTCAGGATGCTCTCACGTTTTATGCCCCACCACCACTAGGCACTAGCCATGTCAAATAGGACTTTTATGAGCAACTCTTAGGGCATCTCCCGACCGGACGCCATAACGCCATTTTTTTCATCTAATTTAGGTGTTTTTAGCCTTTCATCCGAAATTCCTATATCACCATTACACCTAAAATTATAGAGATTTGGTTTCAGCCTCCCACCGTGGTCAACCCCCATATCACCAAATACTCAAATCCTATTTTTTCCACCAAATCTTATTTTCCCTACCAAATATAGAGGTAAAAATAGGATTTGCCGTAATTAACACAATTTTATTAAGTACCATATAAAATGACAATTTTAACTAATTGCACCCGATTACCAACTTATTAGCATATATTATCGTAAATACATTGGTATTAATTATTAAATTAGTTTTTAAAATATAAATACATTTGTTATTATTAACAAAATATTAATTCTAATAATATAAATATGCTTATTTTTAATTAATTTTTATATTTTGTTGGTATCAATGTTTATTAGTTCATTTGTTTACTTAACTAATACGTTAATTGCTATTAATAAAATATAATAGGCAACAATACAATAATTAACGAAACACACTTTAATTGATGAAATACAGGACGAGACATTTAAATTGAAAACATAATTTTTAAAATTGATAACATAATTTTTAAATTATATAGTTAAAAAAATTTATTACTTAACATTGGATCTATAATTAATATTTATGAAATAAAATATAATAAAATTACGATTAACATTAGATTTATAATTTTGGGGCATATACGGTGAGCTGCCATGGGAGACCAAACAAATCTCATTTCCTATAAGTGGAGAAATGGTGAAATATTATTATTTTAATATTTGGTCTAAATTCTAGTGAAACCATTGGAGACCAAAAACACTATTTTTCCACCAAAAATGGTGGAAGGGTAAAATGGTGTGCTACCGGTGGGAGATGAACCCATATTTTCACCACCAAAAATGGGATTTGGTGAGAAAATGGGGAAACCGGTCGGAGATGCTCTTATAATCTCTAATATAGTGTAGTGGTAAAATATTTTTTATTGGATGGGTTTAACTTACGGTTGGTATTTGGTTGGGTCGGTTGATTACCAACCTAAAAACCGACCCATTCAAAGAATCAATTTTGCTCAACTTTGAGAAACGGTTGCCGACCTAATATTTGTTTGCCGGTTGATGCTAGACAACTAAATATTTGGTTCATGAATGGATTGGTTGATCAATGATACCGACCACTTAGTTCACTTAAAAAAAATCAAATTTTAGAGTAAAACTATGCATATTATGTGTAATGCCACTGTGCAATCATCATTTATCAGTTCAAAATAATTAATAGCAATTTGACAAAAAATATAATTAAGAAATTCAAAGTAATTAAGAAAACACAACTTTTATTTTATAAATTTTAATAATATAGTTGGTTACCGATCAACCAACTTTTAAAATATTAGAAACCACCAACCAACCCATTATAAATGGGTCGGTTAAAAAATTATTATCTACCTAAAAATATAGTCAGATTATTAGATAAAAACTAACTCAATCTCATCCCTGCTTCAACTAACTTTTCATGTATGTGTGAGGCATGTGAATTCTTTTTTAAATTAAAAATCATTATTATGAAACATAATACAACAATATATCAATAATTGATATTTAAAACAACCTCTTTAGAAAAATCCATCAAACTTTTCTTTAGGAAAACCTCTCAAACCTTTTATTAATAGAGAGATGCTTTTGAGATCCTACACTCGATGAAATATACCATGTGCTTTTAAACTGTTGATTTATATAAATATTTATCCACTAAGCACACATACACATGGGTGTGTGTTATTATGTGTAGATCTACGGTTTAAAACCACATGATGTATTTCACCAGGTGCACGTTGTACAAAACTATAGAGAGAGACTCAATCTATATTTCACTCTTAGAGATAAACTCATACTCCTTTCACCTTCTTTTTAATCCTAAAATTGCCATTTCATTATAGGGTAAATTACAACCACCCCTTGAGATATGGTAAAATTACGAAAACCCCCTTCCTGGCTAATTACAATAACCTCCCTCAACTATAAATTTTCTTACACGTCCACCCGTCCGGTTTCAAATTTAGTGAAGTCTTCTTGATTATATGGAATATTATCACTTTTGTACCCGTTTTATCCCATTTGAGCTCCACTATTTGAAGCAAGATGATCCTATTGTATATATCAGACTGTGGTGCATCAGAAACAATATTTTTACACGAAACGAGTACAAAATAGAGCACATTCCACGGAATCTAGATGATTATGTTGAATTTGACACCATAAGGATGAATGAGTAAGAAGATTCATAGTTGAGGGGTAGATGTAATTATCCAAACAAGAGGGGGTTTTTCGTAATTTAACCATACCCAGGGGTGGTTGTAATTTACCCTTCCATTATATTATTCCCACTTCTTTCATCCTCATTTTTGCTTCCTTTTATTTTTTTTTTCATTGAATTCTCGTTTTATATTTAATATTTTATTATTTTATTTCATTTTCAAAGAAAAATAAAAAATATTCTATTTTTTTAATTTTATTTTATTTAACTTTTTTTCCCTTGTTAGGTGTCTTAATCGACTATCAACTAATGCATAGTCGATTAAGCAATCGACTACATAAATTGTTGTAGAATAATGAAATTGACTACCAAATTAATTTTTGTTTTCAAATTTCTTTTTATTTATTTATTTATTATTACTTTTTTAATATATTTTTTAAATATTTTTTCGTTTTTTTTTCCTAATTCAGGTGTATTAATCGACTATCAACTGAACCTGCATAGTCGATAAAGGGGCTAACTACTAAAAAATAACAAAACACAACAAAAAAATAAATTAAAATCAACTACTCTTTACAATACAAAAAATATGAAAAATGTGGAATTGATTTATACAATTCGGAATCAATAAAAATAAAATCCAAACCTGAATTAAAAATTGAAGTCAATTAACCTTAATCGAATACCAATCTACCTAAAACACTAATTTGGTAGTCAATTTCATTATTATACAATAATTTTAGTGGTCAATTGCTTAATCGACTATGCCATTGTTGATAGTCGATTAATACACCTAACAAGCCCAATCTACCTAAAAAAAACCCTGGATCTGCTCCCCATTGTCACCACACCACACCATGACAATCTCCACCTCCGCTCACGATGTCCTCAAACCAATCTAGCCAAAAACCCTAGATCTGCCACCCCCGATACCTGCACCACTATCAGTGTCACCACCACTACCGGTTGGGGGTGTTCTTTTGAAATTAGATTATGATAAAGACAGCCAGCAGCAAGAAATCTCATAAATGGACAATAATATTTATTGCCAATGAATTAAAACTCTTTCTTTGCCTCATAGAAACACAATGCCCCGTCCATCATTTCTGCAGCGATACAACCATTTTGACATAATAATTCAAGATTCATTTTCATAAACATAAGAGAATTATGCACAACAAAGATAATTAAGAAAAACTAACCCACTTATCAAAAAAAAGAAAAAAGAAAAACTCACTCGATCAAATCTTCTGTTGAATATTGCGATTGAAACTTCTCTCTCGAGAACGTGCTCCCGATCGAGAGTAAAGAAATCCTAGAGGAAAAAAGGGAGAAGAAAGGAAAAAAATGGAGAAGAGAGAAGATGGAAAAAATAGGAGACGAGAGAAAATAATAATATGATTAGAGTTTGGAATGATGTATTGAACTATTTAAATGTGTGGGGAATAATATATCTAAGGGAAAGAGATTTTCTCAAAGACTAAAAGACGTCAGTAAGAACACCATACAAAGCAAATAGACATACTCTGCATAATATATAAACATATAAATAGTATAGGAGAAATATATTTGGAGAAAAGAGAGAATGAATTATCTCTCACGTATATTAATCATATATATAGTTACATGTAGGAAACCCTAATCCTAACTACACAAGGTAACCTATTATAAAAGGTAACTAGAATAAATAGGAATAATAATAATATACGTAATATATATATAAAAGATACGCTAATACACCCCCGCAGTCGAAACGGGAAAGGAGAGGACGTGGAGACTGGAGACAAACTGTTGGAACAGTTGAGTAGGGAGTCCTTTCGTGAAGATATCGGCAAACTGGTAGGCGGATGGGACGTGAAGAACTCGAACGTGTCCCAAAGCAACTTTGTCTCGGACAAAGTGGATATCGATCTCCACATGTTTCGTACGAGAGTGTTGAATAGGATTGCTGGATAGGTAGACGGCACTGACGTTGTCACAGTAGACAATAGTGGCTTTCGAAAGTGGGCAGAGCAGCTCAGAAAGTAGGTTGCGTAACCAAGTCGTTTCGGCGACGGCATTTGCGACAGCTCGGTATTCGGCCTCCGCACTCGATCGAGAGGTAGTGACCTGTCGTTTGGAGGACCAAGAGATGAGGTTGTTGCCGAGGAAGACACAATAGCCCGATGTCGAACGACGAGTGTCAGGGCAGCCACCCCAATCGGCGTCGGAGTAAGCGATAAGGGAGAGGTCCGGATTGGGGGAGAGCTGAAGGCCGTGATCGAGAGTTCCACGAATGTAGCGAAGGATACGCTTGAGAGCGGCCATATGAGGTTCCCTCGGATCATGCATGAATAGACATATTTGTTGCACAGCATAGCAGATGTCAGGACGAGTAAACGTGAGGTATTGCAGTGCACCG